TCCCTCTGACTTATCATTTCAAAATTAGGAACGAGTATGCGTCGATAGTCCTTATAAAGCCTAAATTCTGAGGGGTAAAAAAACGCTTTAAAGATCCAGAAACGTTTTTTTTTAAAAAAAAAAAATAATATGTAATATTTTCAGTGTATTTTGTTATCTAATAGTGTCAGAATGAAAACTACATGCAACGTTCAGATATTTTCATTGTATTTTCTTATTGTACCAGAATGGAATACAATCGTTTCTAAGTTGGATTAAATATGTGGATGTGAATCAGAATTTGTAGCTACAGAGTTGTTTCAAGTATTTTAATTAAAGAAGATTAGACCAATGATTGGTGGCATTGGTCAATGTGTTGCCTTTAGTCTTCTGATATTGGGTCTCTGTTTTTGTAAACAGTGTTGATGTGATTTTGAAAACGCTTAATAACCTGGTAATACTTCATTTATTCTTCACACTGCTGGAATACATAGAAATTAAAAGTCAGAGTTAATTTTAAAATATCTGCAACATAGACGTTAACGTTCTATCTACAGACGGTAGATAGAGGTCGCTGTTTGTATTTTCGTTTTTATTTTTTGGATATTTATGTACAAAACATTTCGAAATCAGGGTCGTAATAGATGTCGTAAACTAGCACGTGACGTTATTTGGAAAGACCGCGTGTTCAGCGCAGCACCCTTATTAGATTTTCATACTACGATAATTAGATATATATATTCATTTACTTGTAAGCGAAAGGACTTATTCTGTCTCTGTGGGAGTTTTTCCATGACAGGTCTGAACACAATTCAGCCAAATTACTAACTCTTGTTAAACATCTTGTCGTTATAGCTTTGATTCTCAATAACTGTAGCTAGAAATATTAATATTCTTCTTCTTAATTGCTTAGAAGTTTTCTAATTAATTTCGAGATGTTTTAATAATTCAAAAGTAAACTTTGATTCAATTAACAAAGTTTTTTAACTTGTTCGTTCGTTTCTGTCCCCTAGTGGCACAGAGGTATGTCTGCGGACTTATACTGCTAGAAACCGGGCAGAGCACAGATAGCCCTTTGTGTAGCTTTGTGCTTAATAACAAACAACAACGTTCGTTTCTTAAAGCAAAGCCACATTGGACTATCTGCTGTATCCACCGCGGGGAATCGAACCCTGGATTTTAGTGTTGGAAATCCGTAAACTTACCTCTGTCCCATCAGAGGACCCAGACTTTTGATGCTGAGCTGGGCATGTTTTTGTTTGCCCTGTTGCTGTTATATCGAGCAGCGATTAGCGATCTCGGTCTTCGTATTAAAAGTGCGATCCCCACTCTAATTTACATTGGAAATATGCGATCCCCATTCTTATTTACATTGGAAGTATGCGATCCCCATTCTTATTTACATTGGAAATGCGTATTGATGATAATAAATATTTAAATAAAGTAAGAATACGTTCGTTAATAAGTAACTAAATAATATAGAAAGAGCAGTAGAACGCTGCCTACCTGTTGCCTTCCTGTGGTTCTAAATTTGGGACGGAGCCAATCTGTCTGGACTGCGCACTAACCAACGTGAAGCACCGGAACTTGAGTGTAACTACAACCATAAAGAAAAACTAATCCAATATAAAATTGAGAAGTGTTTAGTATTGTAATTATCAGGTATCTAATAAATATATTAATTGCAAGCAGAATATTAGATCTATCACGCCCGGATGAGCTCATCCCGCCTCGAGGGCAAACATTATCCCACGGAATCAAAACAAATTCTGGAAAATAAAGTTGATGTCGCTCTTCTACAAATTAAGAAAATATTTCAGAGCTCAAATTTATTTAATGGTTGTAAATAAGAATTTTGATGGTTGTAGGTTTATTTCAGCACGCTTATTAGTGTTTGGGAAATATCCCTTGTTTCTACTGATCATAATACAACACTCGTGGCCCTAATATTTTTAAATACATTAGCGCTATTTTCACCCTATAAGTTGAATACGAGTGTAGATTTATCGATTTTTTAGCCAATCACAGTTTCTCAAGCTTGGTTGTCGTGGTATGATGTAATTGCACGTATCTCAGCATCGAGAAGTCATAGGCTATTGATCAAAATACGTAATGAAAGCTATTTTCCTGTTCTTTTCGACTTTGGCTGGTTTCCAGTTCAGCGGAGATTCGCATAGACTTCGGAACAAACTGATAAAAGCGTTACTTAGTGATATATTGCTATAAAAAAGATGCTTATAAGCTTATTCCACCGTAATTACATCCCCAATTCTTTTAAAGCTTGCAAAAAGCTTGCTTTGTCATTTTATACTCTATTTGAATTTTAATCTTACAGTATGATAGGAAAAGAAATGTTTTTTGTGAAACGACACGAGGAAGGCTTAGTTAACTAGTTTTGTCATCGACTATTTAAAGCTTCATGTATTGTGTTTGAGATGGGTTTTTTTTCGCACAAGGTGACCCCGTATTTATGTAACTTTAAGAATGTGAAACTTATTACATCTATCAAATAAAACCTTCTGGTTAACAAGTTGTTAAAAAAAAGTCGGTCTGCTTATAATTATGATGTGATATAATAATTATTTTCACTGTACGCCACTGACCGTTCACATAATGAAGCTGTTGATATAATAATTATTTTCACTGTACGCCACTGACCGTTCACATAATGAAGCTGTTCATATAATAATTATTTTCCCTGTACGCCATTGACCGTTCACATAGTGAAGCTGTTGATATAATAATTATTTTCACTGTACGCCACTGACCGTTCACATAATGAAGCTGTTGATATAATAATTATTTTCACTGTACGCCACTGACCGATCACATATTGAAGCTGTTTATAT